GTGGCGAGCGGTGGTTGGCTGGTCGGAGGTAGGAGAGTCAGGGCTTGGGCGGCTGTAGGATTTCTCTGGGGAATGGAGGAGAGAGATGAGTTTATACAGTAATGAAAGGGGTATTTTGGGAACTTTACCCTATTTCCGTATAAATACAAGTTTGTTAAGTATTGTATTTTAGACATTGGGTTTAAAGATAAATAAAAAAAAAAGAGTTGAGCTTAAAGATACAAGTAATAGTACTTAGGTTTAAAGATAAAGGGGAGTAAACAAATGGGCCTAAAAATAAAAACCTCTTATAATTATACACCTTAATTGGTCAATAAATTCATGACAGCAATAATACCTTATAGGTTCCCCTACATTGCGTTTATATATCCTTTCTTGTTTTTTATTACGCCTATATACCCTATAATTTTTAAAGTTTGAATTTTAGTACCCTGTATCATGCAAATGTGAGAATTTTATCTTGAAAATCTTGATGTGTCAATCAAATGCGAACTTTAAAAATTTTTAAGTTGTAAGTTTGTTAAATTTATTGTTAAATAGTTAGCAATGCTCTTTCCTAAGTGCACAAAGAAAGGAAACTGGAACTCTCTTTCATTACTCGAACCTATCCAAATACTGTTTTCCAACAAAATTAGGATCGATTTAAACTAGAATCTGATAAAAGTCAGCAGCTTCACTCATCTACGCTCCACCCCCTCCCCCTTCCCCCCAACCTACTTAGCTATAGTAACACATACCCCTAATAGTAATCACCTAACCCTAATAGTATTTACCTACCCCAAACCAATGTTATAAATAACCCCTAAGTATTTGTTTGAGATCATTCCGTAGCAAAGAGAGAGAGAGAGAGAGAGAGAGACCCCTAAGTATTTGTTTGAGATCATTCCGTAGCAGAGAGAGAGAGAGAGAGAGAGAGAGAGAGAGAAATAAAGAAAGGAAGAGAGAGTAATTGAAATAGTAAGCCTTCGTAAAAGAGTGTACTAGTTTGTCGTAGAGAGAGTATTTGTATTAGAGAAAGTATTGAGTGTTGTACCACTAAAGAAATAATAAAAAAATATTTTTTAGTATCCACCACGTTTCTCAAATCAACAAGTAGCATCAGAGCCAACTTCACAAATCAACAAGTGGTATCAAAGCCTGGTTTAGGATGCGTGTATTTGTTTATCATATGCTCTATGGCTACCACTCCACATTAAAAAATAAGTTAGATTATCATTTACCCTTTGAAGTTACTAGATACTATTTACGAGTACTGCACTATTCACGAGTACGGTTACTATTTATAAATATGGTTACTGTTCATGTAAAATAGTAAAAGTTACAGCTCGTGATAGAAGCAAGGCGGTCAGGAACCGGCTCTCTCCTACGATGATCATATCGCCATTCTTGAAGGCCAAAGTTCATGCTCAGTTCGGCACTGTGAAATTGGTTAGTTAGGGACCAAACTTACGTGGAGATATTAAAACAGTACCACATCATGATGGCAGATCTGGCAAGTACAACTATTATATTTAAGAAACTCAACGGTAATAACTATAACTACTGGGACACGTGTATAAAGTATTATTTTTAAGGATAAGACCTCTGGGAGGTCATCGAGGATGCTGAAACTATAACACCTCGGGAAGCTGACGAGGCACTAAAGAAGTGGAACATCAAAGCTGACAATGTTATATATGTGCTGAAGACGATAGTAGAAGAAGATATCATAGACTATATGTGAGATGCTAGAACTCCGAAGGAGGCATGTGATGCACTTGTGATACTCTTCTCGAAGAAGAACGATGCTCGACTTCAACCCCTGGAGAATCAATTGATGACCTTGTAACAGAAGGATCTGACAATCAATCAGTACTTCAAGCAAGTAAAATCACTCTGTTCAGATATCACTCAACTAGATCCATATTCTAAAGTGTCCGATGCAAGGATGAGGAGAATAATCATCCACGGTTTGAGATCAAAATATCACGGACTCGTTGCTACTTCAAACGATGGCCGACTCAACCAACATTATTAGAGTTGGAGAGTTTGCTTGCTACACAGGAAATCCTAGCCAAACAAATGTCGGCGTTTAAATAAAAAGCGAAAGATGAAGCACTCTTCAGCAGCAAGGAGAGAGACAAACTAAGAGGCGTGAGGAAAGAAGAGTATGAAAAGGCTAGTGCAATGAGGCAGCCAGGACGACCATACACCAACAGAACACAACAGTGTGAGGAGCAAGGTGATTGTTGATCAAGGAGACCTAACAGTAGCTGCTACAACTGTGGAAAGAAAAAACACTTTGCCAGAGACTTTCACTACAAGAGAAGATCTGCAAAGGGCAATGCTGCAACATCGTGTAAATATCAATATGATGAAGAAGAATGAGATACCCAAGCATTCATAGTCATTATTAAAGATGTACCAGTCGACGAAGACGATGTTGCTGGTATGGCACTAACCTTGATTATAGAAGAATCTGAGTCTGCATTTGCAATAGTTTTAGATTGGAAAGAAATTAGCTATAATAAAGATTAGACCGTCAATTCTAGTTGTTCCAACCATATGACAAAAGATAAGGGGAAGCTTGACAACATGAAGGAGTATAAAGGTAGCCGAGAAGTTGTGATAGCAAATAATTTAAGATTACCTATCATACACATAGAAAAGACTGTGTTTACACCACGATACAACCCGAATTGGATATAACTACAAGATGTATACCATGTACTGGGTATAAAAAAGAACATTATATCTGTTTTCCAATTAACAGCTTTTGAAAACTATGTATTATTTGGGTCACAAGATGTAAAAGCCTATCAAAACTTAAAGCCACCAGGAGAATCTATCATAGGGGGACGGAATGTAAAATCTGCTTATGTGATGTCAACGGAATCAGCATACATAGATAAAGCTAGAAAGAATAAGACGTCTAATCTGTGGCATGCTCGATTTGGCTATGTGAGCTTCACAAGCTCAAGATTATGATGGAAAAGTCTATGTTAAAGGGTCTTCCACACTTGGCGATTTGAGGAGGGACCATATGTGGAGGTTGTTAGTATGGTAAGGCACATCAATTACCATACCAGGAGTCACAATTCAGCGCAAGGGATCTTTGGAGCTCGTGCACTCAGATGTATTTGGCCGAGTGAAGCAGGAATCAAAAAGGTACATGATCACCTTAATCGATGATTACTCAAGATATATCTGGGTTTATTTCCTAAAGGAAAAGTCTAAAGCACTCTCCAAATTCAAGCAAGTCCAAGAAGAAGTCGAAGGAGACTCGGCAAGAAGATTCATTGCCTACACACAAACAACGGGAGAGAATACACATCAAAAGAGTTTTACGATTACCTGAAGCAGCACAAGATTCAGCGACAACCAACGTGCCCAAATACTCCACAGCAGAATGGCGTAGCCAAAAGAAAGAATCATCATCCCGCCAAAATTTGTAAAAGCACGCTTCATGCCAAGAACGTGTCAGGACATTTTGGGCTGAGTGTATGAAGACTGTGGTGCACGTGATCAATCGGCTACCACAACCAAAATTGAAGCTCATATCACTATTTTAGAAGTTGTGGAATACCAACCTTACTATAAGTCATTTCAAAGTTTTTAGTTACGTATGTTATGTGTTCGTGCTTGATCACCTTCACAGCAAGTTTGAAAAAAAGGATGTAAGGTGTATTTTTGTGGGGTATGACAGTGAAAGAAAAGGATAGAGATTCTATGATCCCACAACTGGATGATAGTATACATCAAGAAATATTGTATTTAACATAGATTCATCTTGGTGGGCTTCATAAGAAGTTGTGCTACCAGATACTAAAGATCTAGAGGATTGGCTACAAGAGAAGGTAGGGGAGCAAAGTCAAGAAGAAGACTTAAGTCAATCAGAGAAGACATAATCAAGCTCTTCAACATCTTTAAAGGAGAATAATTCATAGAAGACTGGTGTTTATCAGACAACACCAAAAAAAGTGCGCCTGAGTCAGATAGAGGATATCAAAGAAGGACCAGTTGAACAACTTTAAAGATCAACAAGACCCAGAAAGTTGAATCCTAAGTATGCTCATGCTGCCATTATGGAAGATCTGAAGAAGTCATCTAGCTTTGAGGAAGCATACAAAATTGCTGAATGGAGACGAGCAATGAAGGAAGAAATTCAAGCTCTACAGCAGAACCAAACTTGGGAGTTGTTGCCAAAGCCTAAAGATGTCAAACATATCTCCTACAAATGGGTTTGTGGGTCAATTGAGAGATACAAAGCACGCTTAGTGGCTCGAGGATTCTCTCAACAGTATGGACTAGATTATGATGAGATATTCAGTCCAGTTGCCAAGGTAACAACAGTTAGAGTTCTTCTAGCTCTAGCAGCCAGCAAAAATTGGAAGCTTTGGCAGATTAATGTGAAGAGTGCATTTCTACAGTGAGGTGGATCGAGAGATTTACATAGAGCAACTCATTAGATTTGAGAGCAAGGAGAAGGAAAGATATATTTGCAAACTAAAGAAAGCTCTCTACGGACTGAAGCAAAGCTCTGGCAGCTTTGTATGGCAAGAATGATGAGTTTTTAATTCAAAGTGGATAGTCTCTTCCTCCTGTAGATTCTAGTTTATTTGTCAGCAGACTGGTAATAGGCTAGCAATCGTGCTAATCTATGTGGATGACTTAATCCTAACTTGAGACGATGAAGCGAAAATCCAGAGAACGAGGACAAATCTCTTGGTCAGGTTTCAAATAAAAGAGCTTGGGGAGCTCAAGAATTTCCTCAGATTGGAGGTCGACAGAATGAAGGATGAACTTTTCCTTTGCCAAGAAAAATACGCGAAAGACATGTTGCTCTAGTATGAGATGTTCAACTGCAAGTCAATCTCAACAACGATGGAAACAAATCTGAGACTGAGTGCACATGAAGGAAAAGATTTGGAAGATCCATCTACATATCGACAACTAGTTGAAAGCTTGATCTATCTAACGATGACAAGACCGGTTATTTCATTTGCGGATGGTATAATAAGACGATGCATGTAGAAACAAAAGAATCCTCACTTAGAAGCAATGTGAAGGATCTTAAGGTACATCAAAGGTACAATTAACTACGGTCTCATGTATAAGAAAGGAGAAGAATGTGAGATCTATGGCTATTGTGATGTTGACTATACTGGAGATCATGACACTCAAAGGTCTATTATTGGATATGTGTTTAGTCTCGGTTCAACGACTATACCTTGGTGTAGTAAAATACAGTCCACGATGTCATTGTCAACTATGGAGGTGGAGTACAGATCAGCAACAATGGCAGCTTAGGAAAGCACGTGACTTTTTCAGTTAATAAGAGATCTACATCAGTCCACAGACTTCTCAGTAACTTTACATTGCGATAATCAGTCTGCAATATGATTAGTAGATAATCGAGTTTTTCATGCTAGGACGAAGCACATCGAAGTACATCATCACTTTCTTCGAGAGAAATATCTTCAGGAGGAGATCGTGATGAAGCTAATCCGGACGAACGAACAAATAGCTGACATATTCACCAAAGCACTAAGTACTTTAAAGTTTGCAAAATTTCGAAGTCAGCTTGGACTTGTGGATAGAAAAGTCGCTGCTAAGAGAGAGTGATAAAAGTCAGCAGCTTCACTCATCTACCCCCACCTACCTAGCTACAGTAACACATATCCCTAATAATAATCACATAACCTTAATAATATTTACCTACCCCTAAACCAATTTTATAAATAACCCCCAAGTATTTGTTTGAGATCATTTTAGTAGCAGAGAGAGAGAGAGAGAGAGAGAGAGAGAGAGAGAGAGAGAGAGGAAGAAGAAGAAGAAGAAGAAATAAAGAGAGGAAGAGAGAGAGAGAGAGTAAGTGAAATGTTAAGTGTTTGTAAAAGAGTATAATAGTTTGTAGTAGAGAGTATTTGTATTAGAGAAAGTATTGAGTGTTGTACCGCTAAAGAAATAATAATAAATATTTCTTAATGTCCATCATCCTTCTCAAGTCAACAGGTGGTATCAAAGCCAGGTTCACAAATCAACAAAATCATTGTATATTTAACAGTAAATTTGATGAAAATCAAGTGTTTGCTTAACTGAGGGTATTGAAATGCAAATTTTTAGAACTTCAAGTTATGTAAGTGCTGCCAATAACCTGTGAGGTTGTATAAGTGCAATTTAGGGGAAACTATAAGGTATTTCACTGCTAATTATCCTTTCATTTGGGCTATTTTCGTAATGTTTTGAAATTAGTCCCTTAATTAATTGAAATTGCAAATGTTACTTAAATCTAACTATTACCTTAATGATTTGTTATATAGATTTAGGAAGGAAAACAGACGGTACCTAAATTTTTGAAAGCCATGCGGCATGGTTGATAAATTTATTAAACTAAAAAGGTGTGAATAGTCATGTCAAAATTAGAAGTATAAAAACATTGAAATCTTGCATTTTTCCCCCTCCCATCGGAACTGATTAATCTAGTAGATGTTGACATAAAAACCTATAGAATTGGCATTAAAAAAATCTATTGTTACATTATATTGGTATAGAAAATGACTGCCTGAGAAATTGCAAGTGTGCGGAAAGTAAAATATAATGATGCACTTGTTTGAAATATAAATAGCATACAAATACAATAACATTAACAGAGCCTACAAAACTTGAAGAGGCAAATAACAATTACCATCTTCCTGCTAAAATTCTAAAATTTTCCTCTTTAACTCATCAATTCTACACTCACCATAAATATTAAATTTAAACAAATTGTTAAGGGGGGAAAAATCACAACTTGCTACAATATCACTTCCCGTGGTTCCTGAGAAAAGGTTTCTTCACTTTCTGGGATTGTTTTATCGCATTCAGAGCTGTTGATTTAAATAGCTTGTGGACATCCCCTGAACTCAGTTTCTGCTTACCAGCTAGATTAGCAAGCTCACTTGCTGATGACTTCCTCTTGCCAGGATTTCTCACAAATGGAGTTGTTTTTCTTCCATTTCTGAGAAATGTATTCTTACCAAAATCCTTCGCAGTTGCCGTATCTGATGATGGTCTTTCTCTTTTGATGCCTCGTTTATCAGCAATAAGCCCCATTTTGGCCATCGAAACATCAAGACCAGGAAACTCAGACCCTAGAGAAGATATTGAATTAGAGACATCAAGAACATCAGTTTTATCACTAGCTCTCCCATTATTTCTCTTTCTTTTGTTTGAAGGTTTCTGTGAAGGCTCAGACTGTACTTCATGTCGAGAGTTGGATCCAAATGTAGCCTGAAACTCTTTGTAGATGGTTTCTTTTGATGCTTGGCTTCGTTTCCACTGCTCAGGCCGACTGGCAAATCTATAGAAATACGAAAGAAGAGGGGAAATCTGTTTAATTACATAGCAAATCATGTGGAGAGGTCGAGAAAATTGATAATATGCTTTACCCATCAATATCTAGTTTCTTCAAAAGATATGGCCCATGCTTAGTCTTTGAGAGATCAGATTGCACTGCCACTAACTCTGAGGCAATAGTCTCCTTCAGAGGGACATCACTAGCAGTGAAGCACTTCTCAACTGTAAATGAACTCGAAGGGTGCATGGCAAGCTCTGCGAAATTACCTTGCAATCTTCATACAAGAGAAAACAGGGAATGAAATTTTAGTATGAATCCCAGATTATCAGTACCATAAAACTTAATTCTTTGAATGATAAACCTTGCTCGGGATTATGAAGTTTCCATCCATCAGATTTTAAGGGAATCATTAAATGTCCGACTAGATTGATGTCTTACTTGGTGATGACCTCGAATTTATGCTTTGGAGAAGCTTCTGAGCAAAAAAAACTTTCAAGGACGCGGCATCCTCCAGCATCTTTGGCAGTTTCAAGGATATGGTCAATATCCATTGATGAAATGCTTGTACTGTACGACTGGATAAATTTCTGCCAAGAAAAATAAGAAAATACCCAAGACCCTTCAAAATCCAGTAACTTGTAAATTTCCTAATATCCTCAACAGTCCAAATAAAGTGACCCTTATCAGAAACAAAAGTGGAAGTAGAAAACTGCATGGTATTCATGCTTTTCTATGTTTTTACTTTTTATTTATAATGCACTGCCCAAGCTGAAATGGAGTAGATTTTTTATTGAGAAGCAGATCCAGTCAAATATTAATGACATAAAGATGTATAAAAGAGATTAAAACACACTGTGGATTTTTGACATACTTTTGAACATCTAAAAACGGTTTGTAACATCAAACACCCGAGTGTGTGCATCTTATCACCAAAGGGCCACGTCCAATGAGACTTTTGTCTGAAGTAGCTCTCGAGAAACAGTAAATGGGGAACAATGCAACTTGTAGATTCTGATTTTGAACTCACAGCAGCAGCAAGAGCCTGGCAACACTGGAGAAGATACAAGATGACAGAACAAAATAAGGTTAAGCTAATGTGTATATATATCTATAGATTAGTAAAAGAGGATAACTCGCCAATATTAAAGGTAATCCTTTGACACTGTCATTGAGAATCTGAGCCTACTATTTGTGTGATTAATGCCTTATTTTCCATACTATAAGTCCCATGATCTGATATTAAGAGGAGGTCTGAGTTAGGTAGTTAATATGTAATGAAGAGTACAGAAGAGGATTCACATAGCCAAAAAAGCAACAGGGAGAAAAGATTTTGTTGTTATTTCCAATTTTTTGTTACTAGTGTTGAACCATCCAGTATTCATAACTCTTTTTTTTCAAGGTCCAAATGACAACAAGAAAGGCTAAGAATTGTTAGCAGTCAAGATAATGCAGACAGTATTTTTAAGGTCTTACCAGATACCCATAGTCACGACAAAATAACACAACCTACTAAATTTATTCCATTTCAGTTTCATTCTCATTTTCACACTCTTCAACTTTATTGTGTCTCATTTTTTCTTTATTAATCATCTTCTGTACTAGCTTCAAACTTATTACAAAGTTGCAACTCAAGAAACTAAGAAAAGAATAGAAATTGGCAATAGATAGTTGTATGGAAAACCTCATGGATATTGATTTGGAGACGCTGGCATGTAGCTAAAACAGAAGCAACAACTCCTGGCTTCCCAATTTCCAGTAATTCCTCTAACTTTGATCCAAGCTCTTCCCAGATCAAAGCCACCTGCAAAGTGCATTTGTCAAGTTTGAGAAAGTACTGTCATCGTAATATCAAAGAGATATTTTTCAAGTTTCAAGATATTTCTAAATCATCTACACCTTTCCACAAAAAATGGAATTGGGTATGGAGCACATGGCTCATGAACAATGAGTGCATTGTTTATGTTGGCAATTTCTAACTAAGCATTTGCCAAAAGAGAGGCCTAGAAGGTAAAACAATTACCTTAATGGTTATGTTTTAAGCTCATGCGACTAAAGGGCATTCCTCCAGAGTTCAACAAGACATAAGAAAAGGTCAAGACTAGGGAGTCATAGTTTTGACATGGGGAATTTCAGTCAACTCTAAGACCCAAGATAATTAAAGGGCCACAGCTTACAGTCCACATTATTACATATTATATCAACGTTTCAACTACAGTAATCTGAACAAAAAAGACCGAAGTTAAGTTGGATCTAAGAATCAGTAAAGGTCCTTCAGTAGCATGGAGATGCTCAGCATGTAGATTTGCTTAACATTTTACTGAAATCTAGACAAAACTGAAGCATCCAAACGATCAAAACCGTTTGATATACTTAAAATACTCTTTTGACCATACAAAAGCTTTTAGGTAATAGTGATGAGAAAAGTACAAAAGAAACCACATACTTCATCTTTCGTCTTTGCTGAAGATACTAATGCTTGCACCACAAAATTTCCACAATGAAGAGATGATATTTCAAATAATGACCCTTTGAAGAGTTCATTGAGAAATTTATCATACACAGAAGCTGGTGCCACTTTGATTACGACCTGTAAGTAACCAAATTTTAGCAATTTCCTCCATGAAAAAAAATCAAGAAGTATAAACCAGGTTCAGCTGAACAGATATAATAGAAAACAAGTTCCTTCACATGAGAATGTTGCTTATGCATTGGCATAGACTTCATATAAAATAGACAGTTAAAGAAACTTCGAAATACAAGATAAGCTACTTATGAAAAACAATCTCAGCTAGCTTACAACATCATTCATTCATTGTCAGTTCTGAAGACCTGATACATATATTATTGCATTGACAAAAGAAGCATAAAATTTTGAACATTTGGAGTAGCTAGCTAACAGTAGATTGGGAAAAGACAAGCTCATTCATGGTTCCTAAATGTAAAATTTTCACTGTTTTACAAAAAATAGAAAAGACAGTTGGAAAGAAACTTAGAAACACGAGTAAAGCTACTAATACAAAACAATCGCAGCTAGATTATTATATCATCTGATTTTAGCCAATTTTGATTCAAAATTAAGTTCAACATTTTCTATCATCCAGTACTACATGCAATATAGCACAAATTAGGTAGACACTAACCATGAAGTTGTAAACTTGTAATAACACCGAATGTATCCAGAAACTTAGCAGTTTATCAAAATGTTAATTATAAGAATGTAACTACAATAATAGAGAATTGAAGAAGGAACCTCGAAGAGATGGCTGAAAGAAGTATCCTCTAATAAAGCAATAACGTGTTTTTTTCTTTCAGCTTCAATGAACATCCCTTCGGCGGTATCGTTCTCCTCACAGCCAATAATAGTCAGAATTGCATGCAATAACTCTCGATCATCGCCCACTAATAGCTTCAAGATAGTCTGCAAATGAATTTAATAGCAAATTATTTAAGATATGACCACAGTTCAACTTGTCAAAATGGTCTTGTACCACATTGATTCATGTAGTTAGTAAAGAAATGTATACCTGTAAAACGAAACTACTATATTTGTCCACTCTTAAAGTAGCAATCTCATCTTTGGCACATTTCAACATTTCCCTAACGAGAAAATTAAATACTGCTGTAAAGCAATGTTGAAAATTCTCAGTATTGTGTCCACTTTGTTGAGCTGAAGCAAAATTCAATCGCTCTGACAGAATAGCCGAAGGCTTCGTAACATGAAATTCTTTCGAGATGTCTACAGGAACACCCTTACATAGACAAAGAAGGCTGCGAAGGACGTGAGATCCATAACTACAGCACATGATTCTGATGGTATCAGTAACAACCATCTGAAATAAAGAACATTTACATATTATCAAACACGAAAAGAGACAAAGTAACCACCATACAATTAGTTAACTCACTGGTTATGTACCTGACATAATTTGTTCAATGTGTCTTCGATCATAGAAATAGACCCCTCGTCCTGGAGATGTTTAGCTAGAGAACTAAGAGCAGCCTCAGCAACATGGGACCCAAACTTATCCATCGCAATGGATGGAAAATCTTTGGCACAACTTCGAAGAAACGCGCATAGTTGTTCCAAATCACAACCTTCAACAAGAATCTGAAGAGTGTGACTGATAATCATGTCTGTTGCAAGCTCAACTTCCTTGCCTCTAGACTCTTCCAATGCATTCCCACAAATGGCAGAACGCTCCTCTAAGTCTACCTCGTTGCTTTCAAATAACCTTGCAATTTCCGTGAAGTACTTTGCAGTTTCAGGATCAACCCTTTTCCTGAACAATTAGTTTATCCACGAGCGTACATTACTCATTGTTCACTCACCTAAAGAATTTGTTATGGAATTAAACTATTTGATGGATAAGACCAAAAGTTGTGAAGACAAATAACTGTACAACCTCAATTTGATGGTAATAGGTATAGTTGTTGTACTAGTTTATGATTTCACTCCATGAATTCAAGGCAATAATTGAATAGGTAAGACTGCAAAGTTACATACATATCTACAGTGGGCTAAAGTAGTTTATTATGGTTTCAACCTCTTATGAGCTCAAGATGATAAATCAATAGGTACAAATCCACAAACTTTAAGGATACCACCAGAACACTAAGCTAGGTGTGAGTCGTTGCTTCAAGGGATCAGTGGGCTTCAAGAGCATCTGGGCTTTTATCCACCAGCATACATTACTCTAATCAAGTGCAAACGCCTATAGAAATAATTACTGTGTACGAGCTTAACCTATTTGATGCATAGAATCAAAAGCCATGGGGACGAATAACCGCGAACTTTTGAATCAATCTCAATGTGATGGTGATAGCTACACTTGTCCTACTTGCTTACAATTTACAATCCTTAAAGCTCAAAGTAATAAATAATTCAATGTGTATAAATTATCAGTCTTTAGATACATTGGACTTAAACTTGTATATGTTTTCAATAAAACAATTCAACAAGTACAAAGCTACAAACTTTAGCTGCATTTGGCTACAAGGAAATCATCAGAACACAAACCTGAGAGTGATTTGTTGCCTCGACGAATCACCCGGCTTCGCCGGCGTTGGGGATTTCATCTTCCATACAATTAGTTAACTCACTGGTTATGTACCTGACATAATTTGTTCAATGTGTCTTCGATCATAGAAATAGACCCCTCGTCCTGGAGATGTTTAGCTAGAGAACTAAGAGCAGCCTCAGCAACATGGGACCCAAACTTATCCATCGCAATGGATGGAAAATCTTTGGCACAACTTCGAAGAAACGCGCATAGTTGTTCCAAATCACAACCTTCAACAAGAATCTGAAGAGTGTGACTGATAATCATGTCTGTTGCAAGCTCAACTTCCTTGCCTCTAGACTCTTCCAATGCATTCCCACAAATGGCAGAACGCTCCTCTAAGTCTACCTCGTTGCTTTCAAATAACCTTGCAATTTCCGTGAAGTACTTTGCAGTTTCAGGATCAACCCTTTTCCTGAACAATTAGTTTATCCACGAGCGTACATTACTCATTGTTCACTCACCTAAAGAATTTGTTATGGAATTAAACTATTTGATGGATAAGACCAAAAGTTGTGAAGACAAATAACTGTACAACCTCAATTTGATGGTAATAGGTATAGTTGTTGTACTAGTTTATGATTTCACTCCATGAATTCAAGGCAATAATTGAATAGGTAAGACTGCAAAGTTACATACATATCTACAGTGGGCTAAAGTAGTTTATTATGGTTTCAACCTCTTATGAGCTCAAGATGATAAATCAATAGGTACAAATCCACAAACTTTAAGGATACCACCAGAACACTAAGCTAGGTGTGAGTCGTTGCTTCAAGGGATCAGTGGGCTTCAAGAGCATCTGGGCTTTTATCCACCAGCATACATTACTCTAATCAAGTGCAAACGCCTATAGAAATAATTACTGTGTACGAGCTTAACCTATTTGATGCATAGAATCAAAAGCCATGGGGACGAATAACCGCGAACTTTTGAATCAATCTCAATGTGATGGTGATAGCTACACTTGTCCTACTTGCTTACAATTTACAATCCTTAAAGCTCAAAGTAATAAATAATTCAATGTGTATAAATTATCAGTCTTTAGATACATTGGACTTAAACTTGTATATGTTTTCAATAAAACAATTCAACAAGTACAAAGCTACAAACTTTAGCTGCATTTGGCTACAAGGAAATCATCAGAACACAAACCTGAGAGTGATTTGTTGCCTCGACGAATCACCCGGCTTCGCCGGCGTTGGGGATTTCATCTTCTTGGATTCAAGATCCCTGCCTCCACCTCGACGCTGCTTATTGAACCTGTTACCCTTGCTGCTCTTCCCCCTTCCTTGCTTTGATGAATTCTCTTCATCAAAATTGGTTCTTCTCTTCTTATTACGGTTTTTAGCCTGATCCATCTTCCTTCTCTTTGACAAATTCTCCTCTTCAGGGAATCGTGTATCGGCAAAGAAAGCCCTTGGAAACAATAAAACGAAGAATTTAAAACGAAATAGAAAGAATTTGATGCTTACAGAGCTGGGACCAAAGAGGGGGAGGGTTTTTTTTTTTTTTTTTTTTTTTTTTTTTTGCCCCCTACGTCTAAAGCCCTAATTTGCGTTGGCGGTATAGGGTTGGCCCGATCGAACGAAATAGAAAGAATTATAAGGGTTATTTCCGTATTGGTCCCTTACATCTTTAACATTTTGGAAACTAGTCCCTCAAATCAGTTGAATCGCTCCTTGCTCCAAAATTAGGGATTGGGATCCTCCACTAAGACATAGTGCCTCTTAATATCTCCTAATGCATCTCCACCTTTCATTACATAGTACATCCTCGTATTTTGTGCTTATGCACAAAATAAAAGATGAAGATGCATTAGGAGATATATTAGGAGACACTATGTCTTAGTAGAGGATCCCAATCCCAAAATTAGTCCCTCACAATCATTAAAATCGCTGCCGCGCCCCCAAAATTTATAACTTGAATCGCTGATCCCTCCTATCATGATCAGCTGCAACAAAATATTTTTTGCCTAAAAGACCATTATTACCTCGCAATGAAAATGCCATAAATGACCCCTTTCATAGAAAAATACATAACGATTGGGGTAAAAGCATCTCCAACAGCCTCCCTATCTCATGTCCTAGACTAAATATAGCAAGTAGGAGGGGAAAAAAGTTGCTCCAACAGGCTCCCTATGTTGGAGACTAAATATAGGAAATAGGATTTGGTATTCCAAATCAATGATAACAAAGTGACTCCATCTATTTAATCTCAACATAGGAAGCATGTAGGGCAACTTCTCCCCCCCCCCCCGCCCTACCTACGCTCTCAGGTATTTAGTGTAGGACATGAGATAGGAAGCCATTTGGGAAGCATTGTTAGAACACTCTATTTTATAGGATGAGAGATTTGCTCCTCAAATATAGGGAAAACCTAATACCACTCTTGGAGATGCTCTAACTTCCCAAACGCCTTCAAAGGCAATACTAGGTGACTAGTTCAATGGAGAAACGCCAGCACACCGCCGCAGCTCTAATCTCTTAGTAGTCTCCTTCATCGCTTCGGTCGCAGCGACTCGCCGGACATTAGAAGGCGGAACCTTTCATCCAAGAGCACGTTCGTTGTGAATTCAGTGTATTTGTTTTTTGGTGCATGGATGTTAATTTGACATCTAACCCCGTGTTTCGAGTAATTTGGGCATCTTCAACCTTTCTTAATTAAGGTCGAAATACATATGCTATGTTAGTAGTAGGAGGAATGAAACAGTACAGTCATTGGAAATTGTTGAAAAGAGCATATAACCTGCAGTGTGTTTTCACCTCATATCTAATGAAGTTATTCGGAGGAGCGCTTTAATCAACCACCGCTTTATTGTAGTAGAACTTTCGCGATTTTCTAGCTGTTTTCACGTCTATATTTCTACTTCCTTCTTTGCAAGTACTAGTTTTTACACACGTGCAATGCACGTGATTTGATACCATGATTAAGTATTTTTGGCAGTTTGTGCTCATTTTTTTTTCTTTAAACTCTTACTTCCCGATTATTTTTTTATGTTTATTTAAATGGGATACACCCAATTTAAATTTTCATGTTGATATTTGAATTGACAAAAAAACAAATATAATATAAAAATAATTTGAATTTTCATATTATTTTTGACTGATATGAAACTAAGCTTTATTTGAGAAAGTATAGCATTGCAAAGTGAAAAATATTAAAATAGTGTTATACAAGGAAGGTGAAATATTTAAAACTAATATAGCAAAATGATTGATTTAAAGTATGTTAAAACGATGCAAAAGAGAATATGAAGTTTATTCCTAAGCATTGATAGACTTCATAAAAAAATATAAATTAAAGATTAATGCTAACTCTAGTATACTTTTATATGATAAAAACATCCACATAAGAATATAAAAGTACTGAAAAAATTTCATGAAACTCCCTTCTAAAGATTCCTAATTTCACTCAAAATAATTAAATTATTCTATAAAATATTCATAAAATATTGTTTTTATTTCTTCTATTTTATTTTTTATTGAGTTAAGATCAATCCTTCTTCAGGTTTATCATTTATCATTTCTCGGACAATTCTAGAGTATTGTCTTCATCATCTACATCAATTGTGACATCAGGCTAATTTTGTATTTTTTTTATGCTATTATCTTTCATGGGCTCGTTAATTTTTTATCATCTCATTTAACTTTACAAAGAAGTCAAATGTACTTATGACGTTTAACACAAACTGCTAAAAATATAGACTTTGATTTTTTTTCTATTTCAATGAGAATAAATATTAATTTCATATATATAAAATTATTTGTGTTCCTAATTTATTACTTAAATAAATAAGAAGCTATCTCTTTATTTTCCTCTAAAATGAATTCTTCTAATGTGCATCCAATAAGAATTTCTGTTATTTCAATAATATTACCTTTGCTCTATTCCTGTCATTTTCCATAAAGATCTAAACTAAATACCTGCATTATTCATTACCAATTTCTCTTATGTCTTCCATGGAGATTTTTTCTTTGATTAGGATAAAGTTATTAATTTTTTTTTAATGTAACTCATTCAGTGCTTCATTAATAGATATGTCTTATGTTAATGTCAATTCAAGTGATTCATTGACGTTTTCTGAATTTTAGATTTATTTCCATCACTTTCCCATTTGCAATGGAAATAACTCAATTCTTTTAAAGTTATCTCTAAATATTCTAATAGTTTCTCCATATGTAATTCCTTGTATTCTTTTACCCTATAAATATTATTAACGTCAAAGATTAAAGTTTCTAAATTAAAATCAATTAATGCTAAGGTATAATATTATAGTGTTTTATCATTTCTATGGATTTAAACATCTATCAATTAATGTTACGAATGTATTTTGGCTACCCCAACTTATTACTAAAATTATATGAAATTACTTTAATTTATATAGTGCCGATAATTTTTAATCTATAATATTTTTAAAAATTGGATCCATTAAACGGATGTTTTTAATCAATTCTTATTGTTTTTGTTTACCAGTATCAACTTAGAGTATTCTTAGATGCTGAAAATGGATAGTAAATCCCTAAATTAAAAATACCAAACAATTACACTTTTCTTTGCCAAGTTTTAAAATTTTAGCCCATTTTTGTGGTTTTGAACTTTGAGGGTGTGATTTATAATTTTTAAAATTTTGAAACAGTTTTTAAAAAAATTTACTTATAAGTTTGGTAGTTGTAAATTCTGTGTTTCATGTGTTGGTGGTAATTTTTTAAATGTTAGTATATTTCTTGTAACTCTAAAATTTTGAGGGTGTCTTTTGCAATTATTAAAACTATAGATTAATTTTGAAAAATATTAAATTTCAGCGGTCTACCAATCGACGAATTTGATGTGTGCTAGTTAAAAATTTTGAAAATTTAGTTTTTTTTTACGATTTTTAAATTTTGAAGGAGTTTTTTAAAAATTTTGAGGTCAATTTTGACAAATTTTAATTTTTAGGTGTCTAAGAGTAATATCTTGAATTCATCTTATTTTATTTACAAATTTTAGAATTTTAGGGTGGTTTTTTATAATTTAAACTTTTGAAGGTGTTCTATAAATTTTGAGATATTGAGGGTGTTAATTAAAAAAATTAAATTTAAATATCAAAAATTTTAGGTGTATCATGGTAATCTCTTGAATTCATCTGTGTTGTTTGTAAGTTTTAAAATTTTAGAATTTTAATGTGTTTGTCTGTAATTTTAACTTTTGAGGGTGTTTCTATAATTTTGGAGACATTGAGGTGTTAACTGTAAATTTTAAATTCTTTGCAAACTGATGTTAAATTTTTAATTTCATGTTTTTAAATTCTTTGCAAACTGATGTTAAATTTTTAATTTCATGTTTTTTATTTTAAGTTTTGAGACATTTGGATGAGTTTTATAATTTTAAACTTTTCAGGGTCTTTTCTGCAATTTTAAAACTTTTTATGGTTTTTTTGTAATACTTCATGTATTATAATATGTTATCTACTTATAATTTTTTTATCTCAACAAACTAATATCATTTTTATGTTTTATATATTTTATTAATATTAGTTTTTTTAAATTGTTAAGCTAAACATGGTTCACATAAGATTAGGATAAGATATGATTATGATTAGGATAGATTAAGATATAAATAAAATATTCAAAATAGTGAAGAGTAATATTGACCATTGAAAATTATAATTTGATTATAGATAAGATAGTTCAAACTATAAAAGGGTATATTTGTCTAAAAAAGATTTTCCGAACTCGTGCTTTTAAAGGGAGTATGATTAGTTTTCTTTCTAAATATTAGTTTTCTTTATGAGAAATTTAGGGGTGTTAAATGGGTGGGTTTGGATATTAAATGGGTGGGCACGTTTTGCTCATTTACCCATTTATGGCCCATTTAATATTTTCTAAATTGACGGGTTTTTGCAAACTATAGTAGCTATGTATATAATACTTTTGGGGTATGTTTTGCCCATTTTAGACCATAAATGGGTAAACATGTTTTGCCATTTGTAATCAACCATCATTTGTAGTTGACGCATAATTTATTTTTCAGTTGGTTTCCAAATTGCTTGTTCACGAAACAATTTTATTTCACAAAACTCCAACTCCACTCCCTTAATGAGGAAAATTATGTTCTTCATCCTCCCACACAACCGATGCTATTTTGTAAATATCAAAAATAATGTACATAATTAATTTTTAGGCCTCTTCAGAAAAATTGTGCTAAAAATAAAAACTTAAGAAAATGGCGCACGATTATAAGAGGACATAAATCTAATTCCATAATTCAGTTAACATCCCACTCAAATATCCAGAGTCTAAGTTAAAAAAGTGCGCTCCTTAACTTAAAATCACAATAACAAGAAATTTACCCCAAATCAAAGATCAAAACATTGCATTGTCACGCTAAAACTTATATATACACACTCAAATTCCGTCTAGGATCATAATATATATTTATGTGACTCTCTCTCTCTCTCAAGTTATAACTTATAAGTATATTATGTATATACAATACATTTTACATATAATATATAGTTGTATATATATACACACTCTCTCTCTCTCTCTTAGCATAGTATAGATTCTAAGATATAACAATATAATATAAAACAATACTATATAAGATATTATATATAGTTATATAATAATTTGTAAGTATATACTAATACATACTTATATAAATATAATAAGATTAATCTAATTATTAGCATTTTTTTTACCAAAAAAAGGAAAAAAATGTAAATGACTGGGTCGGCCCGATCGTTTTCATATGTAGAGATTTAGAGTTAATTGTTAAATTCTTTTTTTTTTCATATGTAGAGATTTTTAGTTAATTGTTAAATTATGGTTTTTCATATGATTAACTGATTATTAATAAAAAAAATTTTTATCGTTTTAATTTCTATGATTTTATGTATTTGTAAAAAAAATAAAAAATCAGGCCGACCCGGTGCCGGACTTGCTCAGCTCAGACCCGGGGTCGGGCCCGATTTTCTGGTCCTTTTGGACGGGCCTATCTATTTGTACTTCTTTCTTTGTAAAAATTAGTTTTCTTTATGAGAATCTTTCATATCTTTTCTTAAGAACAATAGAAAATTTTTGGCGCTAAATGAGGACCACCAACCGTTGTAACTAACTTTTCCAAAAACGAAATACAAGCGCTGTTCCCCTCCTGTCTACCCTTCCAACCTCAAGTTTTCAATCACCGTTAAAAAAAACCTAGGGAAGCGCATAGGAGGAAATCAAAAAAAGAAAACACCAACCAAGAAAAATGACGGCGTCGGCCGCCGCCGCTCGTAAGAATCTAATCATCGGTGGCTCCTCCTCCGTCCTCCCTTGTCCTCCCTCGTCGCCGCAGTCGTCGCCACCGGTCCACACCTCCTCCAAATCCTCTGACACCCCCTCCTCCGACGCTGTCCAAACCTCCTCCAAATCCATCGAGATGATCTGCACGACAACCGACTACAAATCCACCTGCCAAAAAAGCCTCTCAAAAGCCGTCAAGTCCAATGACCCCGACCCGAAAGAACTCGTCAAGGCCGCGATCTCTGTCATCTTCGATGCGATCGGTGCGGCGTTCAACAGAACACAGCAAATCAAGACCACCGACGCCCAGATTTCCGGCGCGATGGAAGACTGCCGCGAGTTGTTCAACAGCTCGAAAGACGAGCTGCATGCGTCGCTGAACACAATCGTCGACAGAGGGGTGGACCAGATACCAGAACAGGCGGATAACATACGGACGTGGCTGAGCGCCGTGATGGCATACCAGCAGACGTGCGTGGACGGGTTCCCAAAAGGAGAGCTGAAGGCGAAGATGGAGGAGGCGATGAAGCAGGCGAGGGAGATGACGAGCAACGCGTTGGCGATCGTGGGGGACGCGGCAAAGTATTTGGGGATGTTGAGCGGGGATGGGGTGATCGGGAGGAGGTTGCTGGAGGAGGAGGAGGAGGAGGCGGAAGCGGAGGAGGAGTTGCCGGAGTGGGTCCCAGATGGTGATCGGAGGATGGTTAAAGAAGGGAAGTATGAGGTTAAGTTGAAGGCTAATGTAACCGTTGCCAAGGATGGGAGTGGGCAGTTCAAGAGTATATCGGCTGCGCTTGAGAACATGCCGAAGAAATATAAAGGAAGGTACGTACGCCTGCATCTCACTTTGTGCATATTTGAAGTTTTGTGTGTTTTTGTTGGATGTTAGCTATGATTAGAATTTAGACTTAAGATTTAGGGTTAATTACAACAAAGATTACAGACTAAATCGCCATTGTGATCATAATCCTAACCCATAAACCAAACAATCGATAACTTGCCTTCAGACTAAAGGGGCACCATCGATCAAACTCAATGGTCAGCCATGTACCTATAATCTATAAACTCATGATTTATACTTTTACAGATGTACGTATATGCATCTAACTATTTCAAATTATTTAGGTATGTGATCTACGTGAAGCCAGGAGTTTACGATGAGACGGTGGTCGTCGAAAGAAATATGGAGAATGTAACCATCTACGGAGACGATCCTGCGAAGACAATAATCACGGGGACGAAGAACTTTGTTGACGGCACCAGAACTTTTCAGACCGCAACTTTTGGTAAGCGTCTATACTCCAATTAATATTTTCTTTATTTCATTATGCTTATGCGAGCCATCAGCAATAAAGTGGCTGTAGTTTAGTGGTTAGAATTCTACGTTGTGGCCGTAGAGACCTGGGCTCGAATCCCAGCAGCCACATTTATTATCTTTTATTGTAAAATTTTAGGTAGACCCCGCATTAACTACGGAATTCTATCCCCTATCACAATTTCCCGCTCCGTCTTCCTCAACTGCAACATGGAAGGCTTCCAGGACACCCTCTACGCCCAAACCCACCGCCAGTTCTACCGCGGCTGCGTGATCTCCGGCACGGTCGACTTCATCTTCGGCGACGCCTCCGCCGTCTTCCAAAACTGCCTCCTCCTCGTCCGGCGCCCTCTAGACAACCAACAAAACATTGTCACCGCTCAGGGTCGCATCGACCGTCACGAAAACACCGGGTTTGTTCTCCACCGCTGCAAAATTTTGCCCGACCCGAGTTTAAAACCGGTGGTTAAAAACGTCCGGTCGTATCTCGGCCGGCCGTGGAAGGAGAACTCGAGGATTGTGATCATGGAGAGTGAGATTGGGGAGGTGATTAGTCCAGAAGGGTACACGCCTTGGGAGGGGGAGTTTGCACTTAAGACCTTGTCTTATTCCGAGTATAAGAATTCTGGGGCTGGGGGTGAGGTTAAGGGCAGGGTTAAGTGGGCTGGGGTTAGGGTTATTGAGAAAGAGGATGCGGAGCTTTTCGCTGCAGGGAATTTTATACAGGCTGGGGATTGGGTTAAAAAGACCGGGGCCGGGGTTAGCGTGCCCATTAGATTGAGGCTGTACGATTGATCAATAGAATGTAATTTAACTCGCAATGCATATTTTTCTAGTTTTACACATTTGTAAATAATCTGTAACAAGTTAAAAATGATTCTATCGACGAATTGACGAAAACCCAGTACCGACACTTGATGAATTGCCACAAAGTTCATGAACAGATAATTTCTTAAAAGTCAGTGGGCAAGAAGTACAAGAGTCTGCTCATTTCCCTGAATTCCGCAACCGCCAGAAGGCAAATTAAGAAAATGAAAGTTCGCGAAAGAAAATGTTGGAAGCAGAGAAGTTTTCAAGTGAAAATATTGAAGAGAAAACCAGAGTGATGCTGGCAGTCGCTTAGAGGCGACCAATGACAGCTTCGACCTCAGCAGGAGAATAGAGATGATAATTCGGAGCAACTTTTGCAATGTCAACATTGTTCGGCGTCACCTGATCAAAATTAAAAGGAAATGTTATCAGAATCAGAATGTAAAAAAGGTGACATTTTGATGACGATGATATCTGGTACCTTTTCCTCCATCACTTGCTTCAAGATGGAAAGAGCTATCGTTTCAGCTTCTTGAAGGGTTAACTCCTGTAAAGGAGACAGCAAATTAACAATGCTCTCAAACACAAAATTATGGCGAAAGAATGGAAACAGGTTTCAGTATAATTGAGGATTTATGGCGTATACCTTGTTGTATTGCTCCTGGAGAGAGCTATCAGCACCTTCGGAACCTGAGCCTATTGCTTTCGCATTACATTGCCAGAAAGTACCTGATGGGTCTGTGTAATACCTGCAAAGCATTTGGAATCAGCAATACTGTAGATAAATATGAACCAGTAATTAACTAAAGATACTTCACCCTGTCATAATATATTTCATAGTCAGTTTCAAAAAGGGGTATGATGGTTTAGAACCCCCCAACCCAAGTTACAATGTAAAGGTAAGGTCAATCAAAAGGAGAATGAATGCACAGCATCATATACGGGGTCGAGCTATAGAGGAGTGTTTGTTTTAAAAACACTTCGTAGCCTTATATCTGAAAGACTGGACACGTGACATGACTCCCTAAGGTACTCAAGAGGATGATAAGAGAGGTGAAAATTTTCTTGTTAAATGGAAAAACAAAAGTCCCAGCGGATGATTGATTTAAATGTCATATCGCTAATTGAGTACCTAGGAAAATTTTGTGGGTACTACGGAAAATTCAACTATCAATAGTAACATACCATGTCAGAATTTTCAATCATCGCCTTGTCGGATTTGGATGCATTGGAAATACAAGTAGTTGACTTTGTTCATTTACAAACATGTAAGGGCATTTATGTTTATTCATATAGTCTTAGCAACAAATAATAGAAAAATTATTTTCCCACTATGTAAAGTGATAGTTCACTCCGTCGGTGAAAGTAAAAACAATAAACTGTAGTTCCAGCGTAAGAATAGTCCAAGGTACAACATTATATAAGTAAACTATCCGACATACAATTTAAAGTGCGAGTAACTTTTCTACTCCTTATCGAACATGCGCAACTTTTCAACTGATAATTCAAACAAAAAATTTACTCCCAAGTATAGCATTTGCTTAGTCCACTAAATAAATGCATATATGGCTTGCTACTAGAGGTCATAGCAGATCTGCTATACTAATCTTCATATAAAACTTACAATTTAAAACTCATGACTCTTACCAACTAACTGGAGTTGGGTTCATGTAGCAACCAAAAATTATAGTAGTAGCTTAAACTCGAATAAAGGATTCATGAGAAAGTATAAGAGGGAGGTAGAGGGAGGAAAGTACTTACAGGCTCGGTCCATTCTCATCATGCCCAGCTATCAAAAGTGATACCCCAAAAGGTCGAGACTGTAGAAAAGATCATAATAGATGGAAAGGATTTGATAAGAGCATTGATAATTCAATATTACAAGTAACTAATATAATAAAATGAGAAAACTACATAGAAGGGTAGAGACTAGAACTTAAATGCATGTTATATTTGTAACAGTTAAAATGGGGCCATTATGGAACAAGATCTGAAAGTTGAGAAAGCTCTAGAAGAACACTGTGAAGTAAAGCTATGCAATATAACTAAAATTTTGACAACTTCTGAAGAAATAGAACATGATGGTTTACAAAAAGAACAATCACTAAATTCAAATATCCCCACACATTCATTCACTCAATTATGTTGACAAACAAGAACCAGCATACATAAGGTGAAACAGCAACAAGGGATCCACCACCCCTGGGGCAGGGAGAGGGCCATGTGGGGTTGGATGATAGGTATTTGTGAGTGTGCGCATTTGCGTGATGACATAAGAGAAGTTTTGAAGTATGCTAAAAAGATGATGTTGCATGCTAATAATAAGATGGTTAAGAATGGTGAGAAACAGTCCATTTCATGGAAATTGTTGTAGATGTTGCATGCTAAAAAGAAGATGGTTAAGAATGGTGAGAAACAGTCCATCTCACTGCAGAAGACAAATAAAGATGATGTTTGAATAATAGCAATGCTTACCATAGATTCTTCATCTCCTTCACCAAATCGAAGAGCAAGATCACATATAGCCTGTGTGGTTGACTCAACCGTCATAGGTTCGCCATATGAAAACCTGTGATTCTGATAAGATACGATTTTAACGTCAGAAACTAAGACATACAAGGATAATTGCACACATGGAATTTTCTTGAAAAATATAATAGCACCTGAGTTTCAACGCGAGAATGCTCAACCAGAGTCCGCGCATCAGCAATCAATCCGCTCATAGCACAGCCTATGTGCTCATCAATTTCCATTATTTTCTCTACACCGCGCATCAGCAATCAATCCGCTCATAGCACAGCCTATGTGCTCATCAATTTCCATTATTTTCTCTACACTGCTCGGTTCCTAGAAAATAGAGGTAGACACAGCCTATGTGCTCATCAATTTCCATTATTTTCTCTACACTGCTCGGTTCCTAGAAAATAGAGGTAGAGTTAATTAAGACTCCAGGAGTTTCCAACCAAATATAACAAAGCAGAACAGTCATAAGCAGATGGTAAGAAATGAAGAATAATCCTGAAATGTCACACATGTAAACTATTAGCTAAACTGGAGCCTGGACCAGAGATTATTATTTGAATCAGGATTCAGACAAGAAACTTTGAAGAAGGCAAGGATTAACTTATATGTTCGTATCCTACATCGTATAAATAGGATACAATTAACTGCTGGGTATATGCATTACGCACAGAAATGAATCCAACTACATATTCTATTGAGTAGTACAAGAGCTCATATGAACTACAAAAGATTCCATGAGTTAGTCTTTATGGAGCACATCTTTCATGCATCTGTTAGCTTGAAATGATAAGATCACCAGCTCCTGTGAAGAGACTGCCAACAAACCAAATTCAATTTTTTAAAGTAGTGTTATTTTCTTAAAAGGATATAAAAGATGTAATTTGTCTTCAGATATGAAGTAAAAGTAGAAGTAAATGGCTTAACTCAATATCTTGACAGCTGGTTTCTACAATGAATATGAATTGTTGGTGTGACTGTGTTTAAATTATATGAGAAAATAAATGGAAGTTGACAATACCATTCAAATAACCATTTAAACAATGGACAAATACCAATAGGAAGTGGATGTTAAGTGTATGATTTACATCCACAAAATGTATAACAAGTGTAACAGTGTTTATTAAAACATAAATCATACGATCGGGTACAAGTCAGAATAAATGTACGTGTATCTTCAAGAAGCGTCCGTGACTAGTATGATAGGTGTCAACAGAAGAACGTCTTCTTGATAGAAGTACATACATAACATAGGTTACTCTTGTGCATGTTCTCAAAAGAATGATGTGATGCCATGGTTTGTGATTTGAATTGGCAAAAAAGGGGAAAAATGACTCTTAAAATATTCCCTTAGAAAAATCATACATTGAAGTTCTATTTTATTGCAATATATACTATCTAGCGCCGCTATCATCTTTGGTTATTAATCCATGCTAGCAATTAAGTTAATTTAGAACAACAACGAATAGTAGCTGAACGGAGCACGCCCGTATTTACAAATATTAGTAGGTACTCAAATTGTTCCTTGTACTAATCGGGCAGGAAAAGGAAGCAGAAC